GGCCACACCTCCTAATCCTTCTAATCCTTTCAAATAGTTCCACTCTCTGATAACTGAGCATTCAAATATATGGGACTGTGGGAAAGGAACAAAGAGGGGTCAGGAATGCAGAAAAGGGAGAAGGAATGAAAAGTAGAGAAGGAAACCAAAATACTCCAGGAAAAGACACATTAACTGTGAGACCAACAGCTAGGCTTCTGTCTCTCCATCATGACAATGGTTACTGGACACTGATAGAGGGAAGACATAGATGAAGACGCTCAACCCCAGCTCTAAAACACAAACAGCCCCACCTTCTCTCTCCCAGGCTGCTGCTTATATTGGGACTGTGGAGGGAAGGGGACATGTAGGACACAAAGAAAACTTGGTCACCAGGGAGAATCTGGGAATCAAGAGGAAACCACGCTGATGAGGTGTAGGGGTGAGGAACAGAGGGCAAAGCAGTCCAGAGCAAGGAAGAGAGGGGTATTTCTAGGGTCAATGTCCTGTCCTATTTTTCAGCATAGGATAGGAAACTCTGAAAAAGTTGAGATGGCAGGCATTTTAGGCTTGAGGGTCTCAGGATACAACCACAAATATTTCTATTGGTAGTGGCACAAAAACAGACACAGGCCATATGTACGCAGGTGGTTTGTGGCCCTGGTTCCAATTAAATATTAGTTAAAAAAATGGATCATAGGTTGGATTTGACCTGCAGGCCTTTGTCTGCTTGAGCACGGGTTAATGGAGGGGATGGAAGTAGCTGAGGAAGGACAAAAATATGGTGGCAGGGAACAAGGGAATAGGGCCAACCCAAAAGGGGTCCCTGTGAAGACCTGTCTTTGACCACACAGAAATGGGGACAAGGCCTGCTGAGCTCAGCTGCTACCTGTGTCCCCTGTCACACTACCTGACCCTTTCCACTGCACTCCACATACCCAAAGCATGCTAAGCATAAGCATGGCGGGCTGCATGCCTTCCCACTCACCAAGTCCTGGTCAGGAGAGTCATAGGGCGATTCCCACTTGATGACTGCTGAGGTTTTGCCTATTTGAACTGCGTGCAGATGACGAGGTGGAAGTCTGCTGTCTGGGATCATCTTCACTACAACATAGTCAGAAGATGGTCCTTGGTAAGGGATCACCACCCGGACCTAAAAGCCAAGCACACACAGGAAAAACAACACCACATGGGGGCTCATGTAACCTCTGACAAATTACTTTTCAATAAGTCAATGACACATGACCACCATCAAAATTCGATTAGAACAAAATAATATAAAATAGTTCCCTGCCTGGCCTAGACCGTTTTTTGTGTTTTAACTTCCTTCTAGAAATGCCCTAGACATATGTAAGCATAGACACATGATATGTAAGCAAACACACACATGATGCATGTGTGTATATGTGCAGCTTATCTTTTAAAATTCTTTTCCACACAACTATGCTTCCCCTCTTAAAAGCAAATAATATAGGTTTGGATTTTTCTTTGGACACTTCTATATTCTACACCATGGATAAGCCATAATGTATCTTACCAATCTTTTCTTGAAAAATATAGGTTATATCAAACCTTTTGTTCTCACTGGTAATAGTGGCCTATGTGCTAGCTACTTTTTTACTTTTTTTTTTTTTTTTGGTCACCTTAACACAAGCCAGAGTCATCTGGGAAGAGGGAACCTCAATTGAGGAACTGCTTCCATCATTTAACTGTTGGGAAAGAAAATAACCTATGGGTATTTTCTTCATGGATAATTAATGTGGTAAGGCCCACTTGGGCAGGTGGTCCTGGGTTCTATAAGAAAGCAGGCTAAGCAAGCCTTGGGAGGCAAGCCAGTAAGCAGCACTCCTCCATGGCCTCTGCATCAGCTCCTGCCTGCAGCTCCTGCCCTGACTTACCTTAGTGATGGACTATAACCTGTAGGATAAAGTAAACCTTTCCTTCCCCCAAGTTGCTTTTGGTCATGGTGTTTATCTCAGCAGTATGCAGAGTATGGCAGCCCACACACTTTCCTTCACATCTTGGCACACCCATGTGTTAACAATACAGATGGTAGATTGCTAGGACTGGACTCAGACAAAGGCATTTTATGTATCTGAACTTGTGAGTCATTTGCCAAGTGACCAATGCTCCACCTGTGAGCTGCATTTAGGAAACTGGCTGTGGGAACTTACAAAGATGAATCTAGGTACCCAGATCCCCCATTCTGTATTGAGCTCAGGAGCCCCAACACTTAAGAAGCCTCCTTTAAATGCAGGAACTCCTGTTTCCCTGCTGCAGAAAGCTTACCAGAAACAAGTACTGCTCATCCTTGTTGACAATGACTGTCTTATTGTGGAGTGAAGTGGTTACGCTTCTAGGGTTTCGGTAGAGGTCAAGGAAGGATGTGGCATAGAAAATGCCATACACCTGGTAAAGGCAGAGAAGGGAAAAGACCATCAGCTGATGGGTCAGTGCCCTCTTCTGAAATTGCTGAGTTGAGACATTGGAAGTACTTCTAAAGCACACAGAGAAATCGTCCTTCAACCTTTATTGTGTTGACCGCATTTAAGAACAGGCATGCCCTATGTGTGCACCTGCAAAGGACAGCATGAGCAGCTCCTGTTCTGACCTCGGAGCTTCTTCTCGAGGAGGGACGGACAGGGAAGGAAAAAAAGAACCAATTCAGCCACGAGAGCAAATGAGAAGTCTTGCTGCCACTCCAAGTATGAAGTGTCAGAGCAAAGAGGGCTTACCAAAGAGGGGTGACATTGTACAATCAAACAGCAGTGAAGGAGAGCTGAGCGGCTACATTGAGGGGTCAGAAGCTGTGGTGGGAGTTGTCAAGTGAGTGTGGAATTTCAGTGGAATGGACACAGGAGGACAGGTGCAGCCAGTTTCCCCAACCCTCCAAGTCTTCCTTTAGTAGGAAGAAGTCCCTACCACTGTGGAGGCTGGAAGAGCCAATAACAAGGTGTCAACCAATGAGATGCCAGCAGGTGTCAGCCAATGAAATGTAATCAGAAGTGCCCAGTGGGAGGGTTCAGCAGGCTCTTTTAATAGCAAGACAGCCGGTCTGTCTTTCTGCCCTCTTACAGCCTGGTGTTCAGACAATGACTGCAGCTCTAGCAGGCTGTTGGCCCGGGAGATGAACTTAAAGATGCATACCATTGGCTGGAGAAGACAAGGCCTGTGCCATATCCAAGGTGAAAGTGTGTTGCTGCAATATAGTCTCGGAACTTCACTTGACCAAAGGTATGTCTAAAGCACACTCTGTGGGTCCATGTAGGAAGCTGAAGGGATCTCAAACCAGGGTACTGGACTAAGCATACAGCAAGGAATGACAGCTGAGTGAGTTCATATGGTAAGGAACAAACTGAAGGAGATAAAGTAGGGTCGCAATACTTCCTCCCCGAGTACATGTACAAGAAGCCAGGTGCCTGCAGAAAAAGAATGCATATCTACAGGTACCCTGGGCATAGAGAGGTGACTTCCTGGGGAGGGCAATGTCCCAGCTAGCAACAGTGCCACTTCCTGTAGCTCTGCTTAAAAGAAGATTTGGAGAAGTGGGAGCTTGGATAGTGAAAGAGGAAAGGTGGCCTCCCAGGGGCCAGTTAACTGGGAAGAGCCTGGAAGAGAGAAATTGAGGGAATCCAAGGCTGGAAAGCAAATGCATATGGGATAGCATGAAAGGAACAAGGGAACCACAAGGCTTATATGGAAGGCCATGGTCCCAGTAGGGGCTTGGTGCTCAGAAATAGGATTATCTCGTTATAATAGGGCCTGTGGTACATGGGTTTGGGTAGCAGTAATGGGAAAAGGCTCCCAGAGCCCATGGGAGTCAGGAGACAAGAAGAGCCCCTCATAGATGAAGACAATAACCATGAGTGCTGCCAGAGTACTCGTGAAGAGACAGGAACAGGTGACAGTCACCCACAGTGGGCCTCATTTGACTCATCACATATGAAAGCTAGCTGTGTATGACCAGTGAAGGCACAAGCTGGGCATGGCAACAAGGCTGCTTTTCCAAACTGCATGTAAAGAGAGGGTCTAGCACTGTGTGATGCCCCCTGTTCTGTAGACTACACCTGACTCTGGAGGATTGCTCAGTAGAACAAGTGGGCCTGCACCAAGCTAAATCTATTGATAGACAATAATATCTCCTTGTGGGTATATACACCCTCCTCAAGGTAAAAGGGAATGCTAAGGAGGGCTCAGGCTTTTGTCACTGTCTCTTGCTCAGCATCAAATTGTGGGGCATGCAAAAGAGCAGAACTCTATTAAATTAAAAAAACTTGACCAAGCTCACCCACCACTCAGGATAATTTTCTTAGCACATGAATATAGCACTCCACATATGTGTTCTACCCAATCACAAGTATCAGAGAGCTTAGGCCAGCAGAGCGAGGTTGGGGATGCAGGGGCTGGCCAGGCCCCTTCAGAAGGTAATCCTGAGCTGGTGGGTGGCTTGTGTTTGGAGAAATAAAAGAATCAAGAGCAGCAACAGGGAAGAAAGTCCCATGGCAATCCAGGGGCCTAAACTTAAGCAGGGTTCAGACTACCTTGGGATGGTTAACCTTGTCTACTTACCACATTCTTGGGGCCAGTCCATGTGCACTCCACAGCAGTCTGGTTGATGGCCTTGGCTTTGAGACTAGGAGCAGGTGGGCGGATGCCTCTGGTCAAGACATGCTCGAATGCCAGGGGACTATCCCCCAAGTCTGTCTTAGCCCAGGCGGAAATCTCATAAGATGTGTGAGCTGTCAGATTGCTAACTGTGAAAAGAAGGAAGGGGAATGCCACGGATGTGTATAAGTAAGGTGTATGTGCGTGTGTGGGGGGTGACAGCCCATAATTTGTTTGGGTTTGCATACCTTACTTTTCAATAGTTTGCAAATTCATTTAGTATTTTCCTGGTTTTTAGCACATGTAATTCTTAGAGACTACGTAACTTCTAAAGCTGACTGTGTGGATGTACAGTTGGCAAAACATTCCTGCAGTCATTTGGCCTTGTGTGACAGGAGGCCTGAGACTCACACCCATCAATTCAACTATTCCAGGAAATCAAGAGGGTCTCAAAAGCTGTGAACTAGGACATCCATTTCCGTATCTGCTACAGTAAACATGGACAGCTAATGGTGCTGGGGTGGGGCATTTTCTTCAGTGGTGGAGCCACTGGTAAGTTGCCCTCATTCCAGTAAATAACCAAGCACTCATGTTCATGAAAGCAACCTCAATGAAACTCATAGCTACTCGTCAAGTACTCAGCTGGCTTAAGGCAGGAAGATGGCCAGCATGAGGTCAGCCTGAGCTACAAAGAGAGTGCCAGGCCAACTTGAGCTATATGGTATATGAAAACTAAGGGTTATTATCTAGTTCTGGGATGCACAAGGTCCTGGGTTCGATCCATAACACGGACACAGGGGAATAATGAGTGCCAGGCCAACTTGAGCTATATGGTATATGAAAACCAAGGGTTATTATCTAGTTCTAGGATGCACAAGGTCCTGGGTTCGATCCATAACACGGACACAGGGGAATAATAATAAAAGATGACAACAGCACACCTGTGGTTTCTGTTTCATAAGACTAACAAGGAGGGATCTAAAACCATGATTGACTGTCCTTTTCAAACGGGCTGGAAGGAGAGGAAAGGAAAACGCTTCCAAGCCATTTACAGCACTCACAAGTAGCTCTTGGTGTTGAAAGATTTCTCTTAGAAATACATTAACATCTTCCCATGAGACCATCTTCAGATATAAGAATTTTAATGGAGCTCAGAGTTTGCACAGACATAAGTGAGGACTGGACCACCTCCTCTTTTCATTTGTTTGCTCTTCTGTTCAGTTGACAAATCTTCCTGAATGCCAATACGCACCAGGCCTTGCCCTACCTCTTACTGGCTGAGGGAGAGTACAACTAGAAAGAACACAGGTAATGGAATCTGGACAGAATCGTACACAGGGCAAAATCATCTCTAGGGGTTAAACTGGCTCCTTACAGGCTCCTCCTCCTTTCTCACCCCAGCCTGCATTGAGAGCCACCAGGTTTAAAAGGAGGTTTAGGGAGACAGCCAGTTAAGACTCTCCACCTGGAGCTAGAAGGATGCAGACAGTCCTCAGTGGGCAAAGACAGTCCATGCACAACCATCTCCAGAGAGGACCCCACTCATTCCCAGTCTCCCAGTCCCCATACACAAGCCCTGCTCCCAGGAAAGCACTAGTCCGGTTTACTCTTCCCTGCTTACAGACCAGTGCAGCTCCAAGGTGTTACCTTTGTGTGACACTGAGCTTCCTTGGAAGTTCAAGGTTTTCTTTTCTTGTTTGTGGGCATCAAATGACCAGAAAAGGTTCACCACGTAGCCATTGACCTGCCAAGAACCAGGAAGCATGTGACATGATTAGCTGACAGAGTCAGGAGACATACTGATATACCACGCAGAGCTGGTCTTGTTAGCTGCCTCCTAGTCTCTTTGGATGAACAGGGATTTCTTCTGATTTTTAATCAGCTTTGATTTGTGCTATCATTAAATACATTGAATTATTTATAGTAAGTGGCAGTTAAGGGAACACCTCAGCTCAGGTTGTCCTCTTAGTCAAGACCAAGAGGTCAATACAAAGGCCCCCAGAATCAGGAAAAACTACCTTCTTCTCTGAAAGTTCTCTACCAGAGAAGCTTCTGAACTAAAAATCATTGCATGTGGGACATGTAATATCTTCATGATCAGCACTACTGACAAAGGTCCACACTAAGCCATATCTTCTATTAGTCCTCTCTGAAGTTAAGAACACGATATTAAATGTACTTAAGTGAATAGCACAAAGACCCTGAAGACCCACCCTGTCACAACATCACGGATGGAGAGGGATGGGATGAGGAACCAGCAGATGGGGTCGAAAATTATGGAAGTGGATTTCAATTTGAAAGATGACAGGGACAAATAAGTGGGCTATGCAGATGGGTGCTCAGAGGGACCCGTGGTGGCAGATCAGGAGTGATTGGGTGGACATAAGAGATGCACGGCAGATGGGTTTCCAAGGCATCTGATTCTCCCAAGAAGCTTGCTCTACCACAATGGGAACTTCTACATTAGCACCGAGTACCAGGAAATCCAATAAAGCTGAAAATTACAGGGCACACGTATTCACACCAAATCTTTCTGTGCACTGGAGCTGTGAACCATTTAATTATATGGTTAAAGAAGAAAGGCACCAGGCTGAGGCAGAATAATACATGTGGCGACGACGCAAGTTTTTCTTCGTGGGGGAAAGGAAACAACCCGGGTCTGGTAGTTCAGCTCCACTAGATCAGGTCCTTCATCTCCCCTAATCTCCCTGCTCTAAGACATATGAGTTCCCACACAAAGGAAGGCCCCACCCAGCTGCCAGTCTGAGAATTCCACATTACCTTGATGTCACCGTTCATGGTCAGGGTAAAGCTCAGAGAGTTTTCATCATAGCTGTCAATGTGGACATTCGGTGCTTGAATCACTGAAAAGAGAAAGGAGTCAAAGAGAAACCATGCTGTGGAAAGCAAAGAAGGTGGGACCTCACAGCTTTCATCTCAACAGACAACGTGGCCTGAAGGGCACTCTGGCTGCCTTTATAAAGCCATCTCTTCTACCACCATTTCCCGGAATGAGGCCAGGCCCACTGCTGCTTCGTGAACACACAATCTTGGCTATCTGGTCAGCTGACTTGGCAATTAGGTTGAACAGAAAAGTTTCATTGTGCCAATGTCTCTACATAGCCCAGCTTTGGTTCGGCCAGGCTCTTACAAAGTCAGGATCCCAGTGAGTGATGTCTTTATGAGGAACCACAAAGTTCCAGTCTCCCCATGTCCTTTATGAAGGATGGGACTTGTGGAAAGAGAAGCCATACGTTGTAAATGTGTGTGCTGCAGGTTGGGAAGGGCGCCTCTGGAATTTGGGAAACCTGAGTTCAAATTCTTGTTCCCTGACACTCACTAACAGGGAAACAAAGAGTAAGTCACATATTTTCATGGAGCCTAGAGATGGGAAAGTTAACGGTGCCAAGTGCACAGCCACCGTTCCCTTCCTTTCCCTTTTCAGTAAAGTCTTGCTTAATGAACAATCAGTAAGTTCCAACAAATGGGAGCTGAAGCTGACAGTGAAGGGCACAAGGAGAGCATGGACAAGAGAAAAACCCCTATGTCCTCCTGATGAGCATCAGCTGAGCAACTGCAACGTATGCCCACAAGAAAAGTGACAGTGCTGAGCTAGTGTCATCTAAAGGAGCTCCAGAATCCAACATGATCAGAAGACACCACTTTAGTGACAACTGGGTATTTAATGCTCAGGACACAGTCTTTCTAAAGGCAAGGGACGGGAGTGCGGGTAAAACACATATAGAAATCCAGGGAGGCCCCATCAGATGATCAAGCATGTTATAAAACCAGGCTTGAAAAAAAAATACAAGGACCAGGAGAAAGGCTCTGAGAGGCTTCGGGCCACCAACTCAGAGCTAGATAGTGTTTGGTGCTGAGGGAAAGTCAGCATGGACTCTAATCATGGTGACTATGGGCAGCTCATGACTCTCCAGAGCCCAATTCCCTCAGCTACAAAACAAAGACAACAATACTTAACTCACAGGATTCACATAAAACAAAATGCAGTGTGTGGCACACAAGAAGCACTCCACACATGGTGGCCTTCTCATTGGAGCAGCATTAACCTCTGCCTTCCTCATGAATGAACCTGGCTGGCATCACTGCTGTCTTTGTCCTTCATCTCTCTTCCAAAGTCACTAAGACCCCAGGTCACAGATACCTCACCACAGAGCTATCCTCTGCACACAGCTTGACCAAAACACACGAGAGGACCCAAGACTTGCCAAAATCACCGGGAAGAGAATGAAGGAAACTATGACTCAGGATAATTTTCAATTGCATATTTGACTTTTGCCTACTGGATTTGGGAACAAGGTGGTCTTCCAAAGCCCATCCTTTTTGGATTTGGATGGTCTGTGTACTTTGGCCCACATTTTTGTCCAGGGAAATGATAAAGCAATAAGACCTGAAGGAGAGCGAATTCTGCACAACCTCTTTCCTACCTGCCAGCATGCTGCCCACTGACTGGCTGGCAGCATTAACTCTGGCTGACTCCTACCATGATCACCACAATTCCACAGACTTTAGAGTAACTGATGGGAGTCTTTGTTACAGGCTCAGATGAATATAGGATCACCCTATGTCATCCCACACCACACAGATCAATTGGTTTTAATATCTGTCAGGCCCCCACTGACTTTAGAGTAACTGATGGGAGTCTTTGTCATAGGCTCAGATGAATATAGGATCACCCTATGTCATCCCACACCACACAGATCAATTGGTTTTAATATCTGTCAGGCCATGGGGTGAAAGTCTCCAGGGCCAGGGCTGTGCTGAGGAAACCACTTAGGAGGACAGGCTTTCATCCACTGCTCAGTGGGTGCTGGTACCCTTCATGAAGAGGCTTCAATTTACTCACCCTCCATCTGAGCTTTTAGTTCCCACCAGACACCAAGGATGGAGTGAAGCAAACAGCAAAGATCTCAGTCCCAAGAGACACACATGCAGGATGCGGAGCTGCCTCCTGATAGGCAGAGCAGCCCAGCATAGGGACCAAGGGAGGTGTGCAGCAGGATGGTTAATGGCACAGGCTTTGGATTCAGGTATGTGAGGTTCTAGTCCTAGCTTTGTCATTTATGTGTGTTCTAGACAAGTAACACACGATTTTGCCCTCCCTTGTCTTGCAGCTATTCTGAGGTACCATGTGTGCTCTGAGCTTTCATGTGTGCAGAACAGTGAATTACGAGCACCAAGGGTCAGCTCTGGTGCTGTGTGTCATACCTAACCCTGATACGCTTGTCAGCATAACCAAGGGAGAGGTGTACAGACATGCCTTAAAAAACACCACAAATGAGTGTCTAGCTTTAGTGAAAAGAGACTCCTCCTACTTCAGAAGTTGCACAAGCTCACAAAGGGCCTGGCATAATGGCCTTTGGAAATCAGTGCTTGGAGGAAGAATATACTCAGTGGATGCCCAAAAAGACTTCCCATCTTTGTAACACCAAAGGGTGCCTGTGCTGGGGAAAAGGAGGCTCGACCGATGCTTCTCCTCTCCTGCTCAATGAAGGTCATTTCCAAAGGGCTTCTATCTTCTCTAAAGTCGCCAGTGCTCCAGTCATTTACCTTTTCCTTTTATAGTGGTGATGGATTTAGAATCGCTCCAGTTTCCTATCCCGTGACTAGTCACCGCAGCCACCTTTTCAAATCAGAGTATGAGTTAATAGGAAATAAATGTAACACCATACAGTAAGAATCCTAAATGAGCTAAATGGCTTAGGATGCAGCATTGAGGACAGAAAAAAAAATACATAGACAGGACGTTCAGAGGCCCCAACCAAGGAATTTAAAAGACCAAGAAGCAAAAAGACTTATAATTGTCCTAAGAATATAAAATTTCCATTGATCCTATTGATATCCAGATTCTTGTAAAGGGCAGGTGTGAGTGTGTGTGTGTGTGTGTGTGTGTGTGTGTGTGTGTGTGTGATCTCTAAGCTCTATATCCATATACAGAGACACATGTACACACATGACTATGTGTGCCATTAAATACTCTGCAGCCTTCAACTACTCCCCAATACTGTAGCATGGCTCTAACAAAAGTCTTAGCCCTCTAACTTTGGCATACACCTCAACTGCTGCATTAATCGTAACATGTTTTTCAAATGACTCTTGGGAACACTGACTGAGTTGCAGAGCCTTGTACAATGCTAGCACTCATTTTGAGTATTCACTAAGCTCTTCAAAGGCAAAAATTTTGGTCCATTTTCATCCCTGCTCTATGCGTACATCAGAATCAATGCCTGGTACAATAGACCCAAAATATGCTGTAATGTGCCTTTTTCTGTTATTCTTCCCCAGTCTCTTGCTTTGACCCATAAGGCCATCTGATCTAAGTCCCACACTCCTGTCTCCAAGACTGACAATTAATTACCTTTCATTTAAAATGGGACACTGATAAAATGGTCAAAAAGTGTGTATCAGTAGACAGAACACTTTGCAGAGTCCTAGAGAAATTATCAGTGCAAGGAGTCTCCAGGAGATGTGCTCTAATGGCTTTAATAAACAGCCTTGGCACAAAATCTATCTCCTTTCTGCTAAGTATATTAATACCGAATTTCACAAGAACCTCATGAAATTGGTTTACACATGCCACTTAGCACTGCAGCATCCAGTAGGTAATGTTAAGTAAAGAAGAGGTGAGCACGAAAGGACAGACCCCAGAAGCAACAGAGTGCCTGGTTAGAAGCACGGAGAGCTACATCGCTGCAAGTTACTGGTTATCTGAAGGGGAAGCTGAACTTCCCTCTTTAAGACAAGGCACTGGGTGTTGAGAAGAACACTAACACTCATTTCTTAAAGGTAATCATAGAGGTGACAAGCCAGAGCCATCTCTTTGTTCTAAGACTGGCCAGTGGTGGGAGAGGATGCAGTCACTCACTCTGATGGTATAAAGGGCATTGAGTTGTAAGTTCTTTATTTCTGTAGAGTTGCTAGCAGCTCTCTGGGAGGCCCACATCTTGGAACCACTCCTGCTGTATTCCACCTACAAGGAGAAGCTCAGTATGAATAGAGGGTAACCAGAGGTTGGGTCTGTCTAATTCCTTCCAAAGCCACACATGGGGAAAGATAGGGCACTGAGATGGCTAGTGTTAATTGTTAATGCGAGAGTGTATCTATACCCAGTGGGTACCCCTGCACATGATTATCTGGATTAGGTTAACTGAGATGTAGATAGCACACCATCCCCCTGGGCTGGATGCTGTATAAATGGAGGAAGTGCTGAACACAGGCACCCATTGCTGCTTCCTGACTGTGGATGCAATGGGACCGGCTCCCTCAGCTCTTATGGCCTTGAATTCTCTGCCATTGTGGACTACACCTTTGAAAACCGGCCATGTCAGCTCTTATGGCCTTGAATTCTCTGCCATTGTGGACTACACCTTTGAACTGTGGGTAAACCTTTGTCCCTTAAGTTGCCTTTGTTGGAATATTTTATCACAGTGACAGAAAAAAAATAGGACAGATGTGCAGTGTCCTAACAGATGGGTCATTATCCACAACACCGAATCACCTCCCAGTGACATAAAGCACCCAGAAAACTTCAGCTCTCTGATACCCACACCAATGTCTGCACAGTACTTACAATGTACTCACGAATGAGGCCATGGGTATGGATGGGAGGAGCCCAATGCCCAATGATTACACCTTCCTCTTCGTTGTTAAGTGACAGCTGGAGGTTCCGAGGGGCATCTGGCACTAGAAAAGAGTTAAGTCAAAAGTCAAGCTCTCCCTGCACTCACATCATTGGGTCATATGCATAAAAAGGACTCCACCAAGAAGCAGTTGGGACTGATATGAATTCAGTAAAATTAAATGGCAGTAAGAATCAACAGATAAATAAAACAAACCTATATCCCAGCAACCAAATAGTTTAAAAGAAACCCTGCTTAAAATTGTTCCCAAAATGTACTAGGAATAATTTAACCAAGAAGGTTAATTATTTCTACAATGAAAAATTTAAACTACAGATGAGAGAGATTGAAGGAAACACCAGAAAATTGACAGGAAGTGTTGGGAGCCAAATCTCAGGGCTTGGCATGAGATCCTAGGCCATTTTGGCCGGCCACATAGTTGTATATTAATTAACCCTTACATAGCACCTCCTTAGAACCTCAGCTCAAGAAAAGAAACAACTTGACCCAGTCCTCCACCCACAGGCTCAGTCACCTAGGCAACCCCTTCCTGGACCTCTTACTCATGAACTCTTTACCCTGCCAAACATCCACTTTGTGGCTTCCTAATACCCTGCCTATACTAACACCTGGTGCACAAAAAACCCATTTTGCCCCTCCCCATATCCTGACTATATAAGCTAGCCTGAGAAAAGTAAAGTTTGCCACTTGATCAGAACCCTGTCTTGTGGTCGTTCTTTCTGAGTCTCTTGTCCCCATTCCCTATCCCTGGCTCTCTTGCCCTAGGTTGACATCCTGCAGGTCCAGACAAGAAAGAACTCATGTTATCAACATAGTCTTGTTATCCAAAGCAATCTGCATATTCAGTGCAATCCCTACCAGAATAGCAATAACATCCTCCACAGAAATAGGAAAAAAAACACTCTTTAAAAAGTGAGGTGCAGAAGAGGAAGCAGAAAGATTGCAAGAGCCAGAGAAGATGGACATCAGGAAACGAGTCTTCTCAACACAACAGGACTGACACACACCAATGCACTTACAGACTGCACAGGGCCTGCACAGGGCTGCACCAGATGCGGTCCCAGTGCTGAGAGCAGAAGTGAACACAAGCACCCATTCCTAACCCATCAGCCATCTACAACTGATAATCATTCCCAAAAGAAGAATTAGCTTTCTCTAACTGAGTATACAAACCACTCTTAAGGCCAGACCCCATGCCCAGTATAGATGGCAACACTAAATGAACTCCACGACATTTTGGGAGGTTCTTTTGTCTCATAACACTTTATCGGGGCTTTGGTCTTTTTACCCTATATGACCTTTACATATGCATTACAGTTTCCAATTTTGTGTTTTATGGGATTTCTGTGTGTGTGAACGTATGTCTCTGCTACTGTATGTGTTTCTTGTGCTTTTTCTTTTCTTGGCTTTCTTTTTTCTTTTTGTTTGTTTTGTCCTATTCTGGTTTGTTTGTTATTTTATTTTACATTATTACTACTTTTTAAATGCCTGTTTGTATTCTAACGAGGGAGGATTTGGGTAGGGGGCAATGGGGAGGAACTAAGAGGAGCTGGTGAGAGGAAATCAAAATCAGACTATGTTGTTCGAAAAAAATCCATTTTCAATAAAAAAGAAAGAAAAAAGTGAGATATGATGGGTGGTCACTGGGGGGAGTTGTAGAGTGAGAGGGGTGAGGGTGTATATAATCAAGATATATTGTATACATGTACAAAATTTTAAAGAATACGTTTTTTTAAATTGCACAGAACCATGAAAGACAACCCCCCCCACACACACATGGACATATATATACCTGCCAAAAGTCAAAGCAATTCTGAAAAAAATGCAAGGCTGGAGATAGCACACTGCCTCACCTCAAAATATACCACACAGACACAGAAACCAAAGAGGCATGAAGCATGGAACAGAACAGGGAAGCCAGAAATGTGTCCATGTGTTGGCAGCCCACTGACTGTTGATTGGAGAAGGGAGAGCCTCTTCAACAAATGGCACTGGGAAACCTGGAGACGAATCTGCAGAAGACAGCTGTAGCCTATTCATTCACCGTGTACAAAAGCCAAATCATAACAAATCAAAACTTAAAATGTGAAGCACCCCAAACTAGGAAAATACTTAAATTTTAAAAAATTAAAATAAGAAACCTGGGGAAAATGCTTCAGGGCATGCATCTGGGGAAAGGTTGGCTTTAAATGTGACCCCAAAAACATAAACAACAAAGCTAAAAATTGTGTAATGCGACCTCAGCAAATTTAGAAGTTTCCATATAGAGAAAAACAAGCAACAGGGTGAAGAGACAACTGCAAAAACAAACAAACAAAACAAACCAATAATAACCTGGTTTTAAATGCACCAGTGATCTAAATAGAAATTTTTTCCCAGAAATGATATACAAACGGCCAAAAGTTTTATGAAAAAAAGCATCACTAATCATGAGAGAGGTGCAATCATGAGAGAGGAACAGATAAAAATGATGAGATATCTTTTAGCCCAGTGTTGGTAGCTGAGCATCTGAAGTACAAGGCAACCTAAGCTGGCCCAGATACAGAGATGGCAGAGCCTACTATGATGAGAACGTCACCTGCTACAGCATCCAGGTTTCTCAAACTCTGGCATTAAGTCTATGCCATGACCCAGTACCCCTACTACTGGGTACACACACCCAGAGAAATCCATATACCTACATGTTTCTACAGCAATAATCACAGCATGGTGTGAGGTCAACATAGACACCCATCAGAGGACAGACAAAAAGAGAAAATGTGGTACAAATATACAGTGTAATATTATTCAATCATAAAGAATGCCATTTGTGACAACATGGATGAACCTGGAGGGCATTCTAATGAGTGAAATAAGTCTAGAACCAAGAAATGAATACTGATTGTTCTGATTTATATGCAGAATGATCTCATACAAGTGCAGAGACTAGTGATTCCCAAGCCTTCAAGAGTGGAGGGGTGGGAGAGTGCTGGAGAAAAGAGGGGTATAGGTGGACAGATGGAAGAAGGACTAATGTTCAACAGCCCATGACAATAGCAGTTGACAAAGATTAACTGACTGTCTTAAAATATCAGAGAGGAGGCTGCACATCCCTTATGCAAAGAAATAAAAACAAGTGGAGTGATCAGATATCCTAGTAACCATGACCTCATCACTATACATTGTATATGGGTAGTAAAATGTCAGGCTGTACCCCACACATGTGTACAATCTTTATGATAGGTAACAGTATATTTCAAAACTTTAAAGGAATCAGCCAGAAGTCGAAATCCATCTGCACAGTAGCCAACTCAGGACAATTCCTGAGCTTAATGCAAGGACAAGAAAAGATGCCGGAGGGCACTGGAGCCTTTCTCTTAAAAATGTTGGCAGTTCCACCTTCACATTGACTGGACACTCTTTTTTTTTTTTCTAGAATATCTCCATAGATTGTGATGTAAATTTGGGGCTGCAAGATGGAATTGCTTAGGTAGGCTGAGTCATCGTGTGTGTGTGTGTGTGTGTGTGTGTGTG